TCTATGGATGACTCGAAGGCCAGGAAGTCAAATTGCATCTGTTAATTACAGAAGTTGTTATTATTTCTTATAATTTAGTTGGAATGTGTTTTAGTTACTCAGTAACAGCAGTTGCTTTTTATGTGCTCTCTTAGTTTGTAGGGAATGTTGTATAACTTAAATATGTTGGAGAAGTAAACTGCTTTGCATTTTTTGCATTAATTGATACCCAGTTGAAAATTTATTTTTTTTACTTATTCCATGATAACTTCTTAGCAAGTTTATACTCTCCTTGTCTGACAGAGGCAAGCACTGGTTAGTCAGTGAGGTAATGTGTTGGTTGCTTCAGTATTTTTCTCTCTAAGTTAAAATCACTTCCTTTCACAAGTCTGTGATAGTCCAAATCTCACTCCTTACCTCTTTCAGCCGGCTTGTAGGCAAACCCTTGGTTTTGGTATGTGAGGAAACATTGAGCAGAGGTTCTTGAGTTGTTCAGTCAGCTGTGTGGCAATGTGTATTGCAGACAAATCCGTTTGGGTCCACAGCAGTTCAGTGTCTTCGCATGTTTTCTTCTGAACTGGATACAGTCACTTGAGTGCAGTGGTGAGTGAACGTGGCCAAACTCCTTGGCTTGTGTGGTGTCACGTATTGGGATCAACAGCCAACTGTTATGGCTTCTTTCCAGTATTTATTTTAATAGCAATTTTGAATGTTGCCCATTTCACTGCTGTGACATTTAATCACTATATGAACAAATTAGTCCCCTTTGTCTAGATATATTTATATTGACACTTTTTCTGGATTTATCTAAGCAAAGTATGTAAAACATCATTTGTGTTGTACTGTGCATCTGTTGCCTAATAAATCTCACTATCAACCTACTGGAAGTCTTCTGTGTTTGATGCCAGCTGTAGTGGACAGGTGTAGAAACGTGTGTATAATAGCCGTAGAACAATTGTTAGACTCTCAGCAGCTCACGTGCAGCTCGCTTGTTTGTGGTAGGCGTGAACGGCAAACTGATTTGAAAGGAAGGTGACTGATGGAAAATGTTGGCAAATTGTACTGTAAATTTGAGCTTAATTATTTCTAACTATAATACCTCCTTGCTTGCGCTCTGAATTCAAGTCTTAAGCTCACGTGGACATACTTTTTTCTCATAGTGTTTTTAGTGCTAAGGAGAAGCTTAAAACCATTTATACTTGGTTAATACCTTTCAGTATAGGTTTGAGATAAGACTTGAGATGAACATTAGTCAAAAAGAAGGAGGAAGGTAGGTATTCAGTAGCAGCAAGTATTCAGAAAACAACATTCTCTTTAGTGCCTCAACAAGAGGATCCTCTCACTTGGTGAAGAAAGAGGTCTAGACCAGGGCTTTTTTTGCAAGTTGATGAATTAAGATGGCTGAAACAGTAAGTCCCTCTCCATGTCATCTGTCAGACAAGGGCTCACGCAAATCCTTTTCAACCAAAAGAAAATGCTGAAACTCACTGCTCGTGCCTCTGTTGTGAATCACTGTTGTCATTGACTGGCAGCAAATTTCTTGTTCTGCAATCTCCCTCAAATATATAAACTTCTGAACTGCTAGTTCAACCATATTGGCATTACTGGAGGTTACCAAGCTTTATTATTCTCACAGCTGGCAGTCTCTTGCTGTTAAGTTGCTGTTGTTTGCATGAAATTTCTGAACGTTTTGTGAGGAAAGCACATTTGCCAAGGTTAAAGTAACAGTTAAGAAATTTTTGTCAGTGCTGTCTAGTCTTTAGACAGTTAGCAATCTGCTTGTTTAGTTACCGAGATAACTGAGTGCTTCTCAAATACACAAGTGTCCTTTGGCTTAAACTCTGTTAGTGCTAGTGAACAGTTGCTGAAAGCAGTCCTAAGTATTGAGATGTTATTTTTTATGTAACTGCAGATAATTTCTGAGCCATTTGTTTATACTACCTTGGCCGGTAATTGATTATGAACTTCCATTCATTTTATTGAGCTGGTTTGCTTGTTGCACAGATTCTTTGAGTAGAAGATGACAAACTTTGAGTTTTTCTTGCTCTGTGTGGATCTTCACCTTAGGGACAAAAAATGTCCAGTGCACCACATAGAATGGCAGTGGGTCAGGTGAGGAGAAGCTGTGAAATTGGAAAGTAATGTCTAGAATTATTACATTTTCAAGAAATGGAAGAAGAAGTTGTGAGGTTTGTTGGTTACTGTGCATGAGGTACCTGAAGTTTGTTTGCATAATGAGTTTTGTATTTATGTCCATCTTTAATGTAGCAATTGAGAAGGACCGGAGGGTTGAGAAGCAGCAGCTTTAAAATTTCATCAGGGTTAAATCTAAGGCTTGACAAACTTTCAAAAACTGATCTTATGTTAAGAATTAATTTCTGTATTTTTATTTGTGCTGTTATGAAAAGGTATTGCAGCATATAAAGCGACATGAGTTCTTTAATACCTTTTTTTTTTGAAAAAACCAACACCCCCCTACCTCCCCAACAACAAAATCTCCAACAACAAATAACAAAAGCATACCAAAGCTAAAGAAGAGACTCATGAAATTTAGCTTTTTAGTGGATTTGGCTTCATCAGGTTATACTGCAGTTATTTAAGTTGAATATGTAATTTAAACAAATTTTCAAGCTTTTTTGAAAAGAAAAAACAAAACAAAACAAAAAACAACAAAACCCAAACCAAAAAGGTTATGAATATTCTTAAAAATTCCACAAAAGTAAAATGAAAGCTATATTTTTTGTTTTGTTCTGTCAGCTGATCAGTTATATACCAAAGCTGAAAATTAATCCAGTATTTTCTGCTATGTTTTCTGTGGTAGCAGAGTTTCATGATTGCTAAGAAAATAAATCTCATCAGGATCATTATTTAGAAAAGGTTTGAATTTGAAACATGGCATTGTGTTTTATAAGCATTTGGGCTTCAAGACATAGATACAATATTTTGTTATGTTTAATGCACAATTTCTGTACAGTCTGTGTGGGATTCATTTTCCATGGGTATGAGATGCTAAGGGACTTTATTTTTTCATGTAAGTCCTTATCAGAATGGGTTTATTGATGATACAGAGCTGTATCAGCCTTTGTGTTTAAAATGTTGGCCATTCAATTCAATGGTGTACGGTATGCATACTGCGGACTATAGCAGAACAGTGTGGCTAAGGTTGCAGGGATAAAGCATCTAAGAGCTAGGAGTCTAGTTGAAGGCAGCATAAACAAACAAACAAACAAAAAGTTGATTTCTTTCTTGCCATGCACATTATTGCTGCCTTTGTTACATGATAGCATCTTGTGCTCTAACTCCTGACTCTCTACCCCCAAATTTCTTGCACCATGCAGTGCTTGGGGCAGAGGGTAACCATATAGTTAGCATCTATTTGATGATTCATTTCTGTGTAATTGCTTGTGTGGTCTGTGGTCCTACTACTGTTATTCAAAGCTCACTGTGATAACACAGTTACTAACTTTAAGGGGTTTTCCTGTGGCATCATGCCCATACTTTCTAAAGCTTTTGGTCCCTGTTGCATGCACTTAGGCTTGTCTGAAGACTTCATGCTTCCCAAGAACCAGCAGAGGACCAGTGATAGCCCCAGAACTACAGATTTCTTCCTTCCAGTTACAGTTCTTGTCCCACACCTAACACTGGAGCAGCCATTACAGTCCTCATCTGTAGCATGTGTCTTTATGCAGGGACTGCGGTGCAGGGCTGTCAGAGTACAAAGAATGGAGATGGACTAGTCAGCCTGATGCGCATATTGGGGCGATGGATCCCTGGGCTAAAGGAATTGGCAGTGATCATAAAGTAGTAATCTAGTTGCAGTGTAGGCTTAATCTCTGCAGTTTTAAATAATTTTCAAACTGGGAACATAGTCTGAATGTTACAACATGGCCCACATCTTGTGTTTTTTGTTTTGTTACCAAGTAAATTGGAACAGTGCTGAATTTTGTAGATTATTTCACAAAGACCTTTCTAGTGGTGGTTGCTGTAGAAATTGCAGGAGGAAAAATTCAAGCTGACTTTCATGCATTTAAGTTTGTCTGCTGCATGTGCATAACCCTTCCCTTAGTTAAAAAAGAAGAGTTGTTGTATTGGGAGCTAAATTTAGGACATACTTGAAGTAAATGTAACCTTTTCAGACTTGCTTTGAGTTTTAAAGAAATGACTAATCAAATATACAGTTACTTGGCTCTCAGTAAAAACATTTGTACTCTAATTCTGGTTTGTGTATCCATAGAGTTACGGACACTGTATGTAAAGGGGTGAAGTTAAGAATCTTTTATCAACTTGAATTTAAATCATTAAAGAACAAAAATGTAAAAGCCCTGCAGATTATCTTGTTCTGTGAACAATGGAGATGGTGCAGATTGATTTCCTGTAAGCCCGGTGATTGGTGGCCGGTGAGAGAAGAGCTTTTCTGGCAGTAGGGATATATAAGAAATTCTCTCCCTTATATGGTTGCACTGGTAAGTCTCATCAGGAGAGTGCCTGTAGGATATTTCTATTCTATTTGGATGCCCATTTTTATGTAGGAACTAAGGCTGGCACCCATTGTCTGATTCTCTCGTGGTGTGACTAGAAACCAGGCCTTAAAAGAGAGGTTGTACAGCTACTCCTGGATTCCCTTCAGGTTTTCAGTTTTAAAAACCATTTAGATTCTAAAAATGACCAGACTGTCATGAAATGAGCAGACATCAAGGGAAGCAGTCTGGTGAAATGTAGAGGTGCTTTGAAGTTTGTCTTATAGCAGTCTGGGTGGTGTTTGACGCTGGCAGTGGATAGGGCGGGGAGAGGAGGCAGAAGTATGGTCAAAGAGCAGCATTGACAGTTACCAGCAAATCCTACATGATCTTTTCAGTGTGTGTGATTCAACAGGTGAGATGTGGTGAATCCTGCAGCTATTGTTTAAGGTATTACTGTCCCTGGTTTGTACTCTTTCCCTCCTCAGAGAGGTTGGTAGGATGGCATGTGTGCTCATACCTCTGTTCATTTCGGCCTGGTAGGTTAGTCTGAACTGCCCCAAAATGTTGATCCCTGAAGCTAGTCTGAAAGAGGAGCAGAAATCCAGAAGGTGAATGTTGGCATCTTTTGCAGCTTTGTATTTCTTGAATGTGAGTCATACCCCTTTGATAGAGAGGCTTTTTACATCTGGTTCCTTATAAACCACAACATTTGATAACTGATCTGTAAATCTAGGGGTTACAGGTAGCAATGTTGGTTTCTGCAGAAATGCAGATGGTCAACAGACAGTGGAGAACATAAAGATTCATTTAGCAACGTCACAAGCCAATTGGCAAAGTTTTCCATCCTCTGCTAAAAATGACAGACCACGATGGTCCAGCTTTTTGTAATAGCGGTTGGATGAAGCAGGTTGTGTGAAGCTGTAGAGGAGTTAGCGGTAAAGTTAGTTAATTTGTCTAGTGTATGGAAGGCAGAACATCTTTCTCTTCCCTGCAGGTTTTATTTGTCTTGCTCATTAGGTCTTTGTGGAAAGCGTTTTCCATATTTAATTCATAATGTGCTAAGTCAGTTTTGGTCTTATAGGCTATATGTATTTCAGTAAGAAATTTTTCCTATTTTAATTGCTTAGACGGCTTTGTTATCTTCACATATTTGGTCTTTGGAGAAATAAGATCTCATTGGTTCTTCTGATCACCAGTCATGTGAGATCAAAACCTGTTTAGCTTTCGAAAGAGAAATCACTGCATTGTTTAAACCATTGTAGTGAATCTTTTGAAAAGTTTGTCTCCTATCTGATATACTTGTAAAAATATCTGTTGTGTTTTTCCAGGAAGTGGAAGGAGGGAGATTTTCACAAGTCTAAGCTAGAGTTTACCACTCAGATTCATTTTAGGTCTTTGAAGGTCAGCCCTTAAGTGCGTAGCTTGCATGCGGTGATGCTTTTCTTATTTGAACTGACCCATCGCTTTCTTTTTCAGAGCCCCCTTGATAGAGCCCAAGCAGCCAAGAACAAAGGAAACAAATATTTTAAAGCAGGAAGATACGAGCAAGCTATTCAGTGTTACACTGAGGCTATTAGCCTGTGCCCTCCTGAGAAAAACCTTGATCTTTCTACCTTCTATCAAAATAGAGCAGCTGCCTATGAACAACTGGTAAGAAATTAAAGATAATTATGTGTTTACTTTAAAAAGTAAATTGTGTAGTTTGTCAGTTGTCCGCTGTAAGATCCCAGGTGGTGATATCTGCTGCCTGCACAACAGGATGCTGCTGCTGCTTGCAGCTGTTTTTTACTAGCTCATTATACTTCTGCGCATATAAATAAAATTATTTTCTGTTAACTATTCTCAGTCTATCTTACGTGATTCTTATGTGTTCCTTTCTTGTAAGACAAGGTTTTAATTTCTTATCCTTGGGAACAATTCTCTTGTATATAAGTTAATTTTGTTTCTCTCTACTAGAGTGTTTCTTTAACTGTTAGGTGAAAGGCCAAATATTTTGGAAGGATGCTACTTCAAAAATTAAACAAAAATCACAGAAATCCTACTAAAGCCTAAATTTTGCATATGTGGAAGTAACATTTAATTGATAGCTAAGTAGACTTGATATTAGTTTTGGAAGTCAACCAGTATTGTTTATTATGGTATCAGTCAATTTGCTTAAAAGGTCAAGTTGGTGAGCTGTATAAAAGAGTGAAAAAATTGGCTTTGTACAGTCTGAAGTATCAAGTGAGAGACTGTGTGATTAGGGGAATCTAGTCTTGAAATTTAGAGAAGAGATAGAACAGTTCTTGTATAATCAAATACTACTTGTAACACTAATCCATGCTGTAATGAATCCCAAATGTATGTATTCCTCTTTTTCAGTTATTGAAAAAGCCTGTTTTGATAATCAATTTTGCAGATAAATGGATTTTAAGTTCTTAACACCCTTGACAAGCTCTATTCCTACATATTCATTTATTATCCCTTTGTAGTAACACAGTGCAGTAAACTGAAATATTTTTTTTTAAGAAGCGTTTTAGCACTTTGTTGAACTTGTTTGTTGGTTTTCATTATGTTTTCATCTTTTTTTTCCTATTTGTTTTGTACCAGTCTTTCAGTCCCAATGTTACCTCCTGCAAGCATTTCGCATCAACTCATTATCTTCTCCCATATGCTTTTGTACAACTGTCTGGTTTCATTTTTCTGTAGGAATTCCTTTTCTGTTTTGTGGCTCTTCTGGTGCAGGTGGCTTCCAGTGGTGCCTGGCAGTTTCTTACTGAGAAACTTGCAGAAATAGAAGCAAGCAGGTAGAACCAGAGCCCTGGGAACTGCAACTACTGTTAGGTGGGCATGACCCTGGAGTTGGTCGTGGAAAGCTAATATAATGCAGCTGAGTAGGGCCTCTCTCATTGTGGTGTTTTTCTACCCGCAGCAAAAATGGACAGAAGTGGCACAAGACTGCACAAAGGCTGTTGAGCTTAATCCTAAGTATGTAAAAGCTCTCTTCAGACGTGCAAAGGCTCATGAGAAGCTAGACAATAAGAAGGAATGTTTAGAAGGTGAGTGCCTCTTGATGTGTATACTAAAACTGGATTAGCTCAGGCGCTTTGGAGATGATAACTTCTGGGATTGTTTTGTTTTTACTTCTGTAACTACAGTAATACAGAATTATTTATTTAAACCCCTTCATAGCTACTGCAAATACATTTTCTTCTCTTGTAAGAAGAAACTTTTTACCATTTTTCAAGCTGTCATCTGCTTATATTTGAAATAGCTGCTGAGAAATTAATGTTACTTTAGCCACTCAAGGTGTTCTTTTTCCAAGAAACTCCATAAACTTTAGAATAGAATTCATCTAACGTGCTGAGCAGATAACCCAGACAACAGTCATTCTACTTACATACAGTGAACACACTTTCTTCCCTGTTTGTTTTAGATAAATGGTGCTACTACAGAAAACAAGGTGTTTTTGCAGGTGGAGATACATGGTCAGAAACAAGAACATTAGTCATTTAAATGCATTTGGCAGATATGAAAGGGAAAAGAGCTTCAGCAGCATTTTGTTCTGATGTATAACTGTTATGAAAATTGGAACGGATTTAACCTTTTTTTTTTTTTTTTAATATTAATACTGTGTATTTGGCAGAAACTACTGTTGTCAAATCCTTCCAAATACTGTTCCTAACAGAATACATTTTGAACTGTGAGGAAGATGTGACTGAGAAGCCAGGAAAATTAAGGAGAACTAAGATCAAGTGTGTTGTCTGAGAGCCCTTTTGAACTAAGGGAAACTGCTTGAAAGGATCCATTTAAATTTCATCAAGTGAAATCTCCTGCTGATGTAATTTTAAAATGCAAATGAAATTTTCAGTTGCACTCATTATCAAAGAAGGACAGAAAATAAGGCAAGGCTCTGACTGGCAAATCTGTTAAACTAGTTTCATTATGCGTAACAGCTAAGAATTAGGTCTGCTAAATTAGAAGGTAAATAAGGTGTAGAAATTTTATTTATCTATCTATTTATTTATCTGCTGACAGAATGCCTTTCTGCCCTGTAAGACCATAGTGACTAGAAAAGGACTACTTAGATAATTTCTTGTAGACCGTTGCAATCACTAATTGACTAACTGCTGCATTTCCAGAGTGCTGTAATAAAATCTAAACCTCATGTAGTTGCGATAAACTGACTTAATAAAACCCCCAAGAAGGATTATGTCCCTGCCATATGAGGATAGCTTTTAAGTCTAACTCCTTTTTAATGTTAGTAGCAGTAATGTTTGTAGCGATTTCAGCCTTGATTTGTGTTTGATTTTTATCTTGCAGTTTTTTCAGATCTGAAAATTACTTGCTTTTTCTGAACTACACTGGTTTTCTAATACAATACTGCTTTTACCTGCCAACCACATATGGCCAGTAAAATTCCAGGAATTTTGTATGTCCATGTAGTGGAGGAAAGCAAAACCAAAAAATGCCACCCCACCCCACAAGAACACCTTCCTGCGGTGCATGGCAGTATAATTTGAGAAAATGTTGCTGGTTCACCCAAGTCCGCACATTAGTTTACAGCTGCCCACTTTGGGCAAAGCATGTCTGCTAAGGTCGTGTAGCACAGTATTACTGCACACTATCTTTCAGGCTCTTTCTGGGTGTAGTGTGTTTTCCTGGCAACTCCAATGTTCTTCTTGACCATGCCAGCCAGAGTTGCGGGGAGTTTCTGTATAAATGATGGCATAATAGTACTTATAGCAGTGTAGAATTACAACAACTATATTAAAACTCCAGGGTAAGTATACTTGCTTTTTCAAGTGTATTCAAACAATACACTGTTAGAATTTCAAGTCCAAACTCTGTCCATCTTCACTGATGTTTAAGCAAAAATTAAATAGGAAAATCAGGGGTAGTATTACATTAACTGCAGGATCCAGAGGAATAATTTTAACGTACCATAAGAGCGCATTTCACACTGCAAAGCATGACTCGGGCAGTAATGTGTTAACATTTGTGGAGGCTTCTATGTGTGAATGAAAGTGATGTGATATGGGCTAGCACTTAAAATAGGCCAGCAAGGTGTTTCTCTTAAACTTGCTCCATTCCAAAGTCACAGAGTGAGCAGAAAAATTTGAGAAGAAAATTTGAGAACATGGGAAGGTTTCTTAAACTGAGTAAGAAGCAAGATGTGATGGGACTGAATGCGAATTTTCAAAGTAAAAAATTGGGACCAGTCCCAGAAGAGAAGCTGTGTTAGCACTTTTAATGCACACATAATATGAATGTAATTGCTATCCTCAAAGTTTCAAAATTGTGAAAGTCCCTGCTGGAGGTATACATTTTCACTGTTCATCTAAGTGTGTTTGTCTCTAGATAAAAATAAATGTAATTTCTTTCATTCACTGTCAGAAAGTCCTTTTATGGCAAGGAGATCATTTTGGATACAAATTTGCATTTTGGAAAACACGGTACATACAGCAAACTGGAAACAGAGGCTTTTACCTTCAAACAGGACATGTATTAGATTGGTGGTGACTCATTGTAACAGTGGCACGTTTTAGTGTACTCCAGTGATTATCAATTTGTCTTTAATCTCACTTTTGTATGTTGTTTCCTAGATGTTACTGCAGTCTGCATTTTAGAAGCCTTCCAAAACCAGCAAAGTATGTTATTAGCTGATAAAGTTCTTAAACTTCTTGGAAAAGAAAAGGCCAAAGAGAAATACAAGGTAGGACTTGTGATATTGCTGACAAATTCTAATTTCACCTGACTAGTTGTTGAAATAGATTGTTGGTATTTTGTCAATTGTTGTATGCTAGTCACTGTCTTCATCTGCTGTAGTGTAAGAATTGACTTGAACGGTTTTGTACAAAGCTACTGTTGTACTGATGTTTTCCTTTGGGATCTGTCCAAAGTTTTTGAAACCTCAGCAGGGAAGAGAGGTCTGTTTCTAATGATTGTTTCCCTTTAATAATCAAATTTATTTTGACATTCAGGAGACACCCTAAGTTGGTGTGCTGCCCTACATGGGGCTTTTCTAGACTTGCAACATCATGGAAACAGGATATGTTGGAACGGCAGTAGCAAAATGTTCAGTTGCACGTCAGATGGTTGTGTTAGGTATGTGTGTTGAGATAGGAAGGTTTATAAGTAATAACTGAAAAAATGTTGGTTTCATGCATAATGAATGATGATTGAGGACTCTTCCCCCCAAGTTATTCTTGGTTTTATAAGTAGAAATTTCATGTAGGAAAGATAAAGTTGACAGCAGAATTCCTAAGTTTTAGAAATGAGTAAAATAATACTGCTTAAAGGTTGGGGATTTGTTTGTGTGGTGTTTTTTGTTGGGTCGGTTGGGGTTTTTTTGAAAAATACGAAAAGCAAAAAAGCGTTGCTTAAGAAAAAATGATGCAGTGCAAAGTCACATCTTTTTATTAGTGGTCAGACTTCCTGATTCAGCCATGAAAAATATGCCTTCATCTCCTAAATACCACAGATTATTTGTGGCATTCAGTTGCAGGCTGTTTCTGTTCCATTTTTGTAAAAAGGTGCTCATACTTGTACTTTTCTGTTTTGGCACTCAGATGTCTGCGTCAATGTTTGGAAACTGCAGAAAAGAGAACTATGGAAGTATTGGGGTAGCCAGGAGCAGTCATTTTAAGTGGCTGTAGGTTTACAAAAAAAGTTGCTATGGGCATTAAAACATTCTCACTTGTTATTAAAACATTCTTGCTTGTTTTTTATGATGATGGTTGAAGTACTGAAATTCATGTTGGTTTTGAGATGCTGAATTTCTTTCCTATAGAAACTTACATAAAGCTGTGGTATCAAGGTAACAAAAATGAATTGTGCTATTAGTGTGGTGGTGGTAGCATGATAAAATAGGTGTGCTTCAAATAGGTAGTATTATGGTATAACTTAAGACACTCAGAAGTGTGCATTCAGACTTTCCTTGCAGGAGACATTGAACTGTAATTCTTTTGTGCAGTGTTCGTTTTGAGCAAGAAATATCTTTAAGATTTTGTACCTGAGAGGTACTTCTGGGACTTCAAGTCAAATGTGTGGTATCTGGACCAAGCTCCACGTAGAATTAGGACATTGCCTCATTAGTCTTCATTGTAACGATAGACAGCAGCTTCTCTTGGACAAGTTAGACAAAAGGGCAAATTGCCATTCAGAATTTAAGCTTAAACTGCCAGCCTGCGTTTTTCACCCAATTCGGGCAGACACATACTGCTTTAGAACACCCACCCCAATGTCTTATGATATCCTAAGAGTCCTCATTTCTAACCACACATGCAGAAAGATACTATCACCCCCCTCGTTTGAATAGCTTCACTTTATTTCTACTGGTGATGGGTATTGTGTTGTGATCTGAAGCTTAAATAATCCCGAAATGTCAAAGTGTCAAATCAAAAATATCAGACTATCAAATGAGACAGTGGAAAGTCATACATTAGTTCTTTCATGAATTAATTTTTTTTTATAATCACATTTGTTTACCCATTTCCATATTTACCATCTGATCTTACCATCTAATGACTTGAAGTTACATTTCTCCATTTCAGAATCGTGAGCCTTTGATGCCCTCACCACAGTTCATTAAATCCTACTTCAGTTCTTTCACAGATGATATAATCTCCCAACCTTTGCTTAAGGGTGAGAAATCAGATGAAGATAAGGATAAGGAGGGAGAGGCTTCTGAAGTAAAAGAAAAGTGAGTACAGTACAGTTGGGAATTGTTTGGTATTGGAATTAAGTTGTCAGTGATTTTTGACATTCTGCTCAGTGTAACTTGCTGTTGGTTTTTGTAGTACCTGGCAAATTCTGTGGTAATAAAGTGAGCTTAAGAAATGAGAACAGTATTAAAAATGAAACTTTTATGAAAGCTGACTAGCTAGTTCCAAACTGGAGGTGGCTTTCATCCACTATACAGAGGAAGGATACTAAGATTGGGAAGATCTGCTGAATATTTACTACAGTACCATAATAAAGCTTAGGAGATTGGAGGACTGGATAGTGCTGAATGATGCTCCTGGAGAAAGGAATGTTTTATACTGAAGGAGAGTTTCTAAGAAAGAGAGCAAGTTAGTCTTTGGATTGGAAGGGAGAAGACAAGCTAGGAAAAGGGTCTCTGTTAATAAAACAATGAATTTACAGCAACTGAGGCCGACAGGTGTTTGATCTTTCTGGAACCAAATTGCACATAAATGAGAGGCTTGTTCTGACAAAGAAAAGCTTAGCTTTTTCGAGTTGAGTTTGAGCACCGCATCGATAGTACTTTAACTTACTATGCTGTTTTCCAGTTTATTTTTGGAAGATATTACTGCTGTCAGTATGACAACCATTGCATACAGCGTTGTGAACTTTTTTTTTTTTTTTAAAGTAAGATAGAATGTCCTGATCTACAGGCAGATTTGCTGAATCCAGGACACTTAGCTGAGGACAAAGCAGTGCTTACTGTATTTTTTGCTGCAAAATCCTTTCTTCCACACATAAACTGCACATTGCTAGGTTTAATGTTTTGCTTTTCTGACCTGGAATTTCATCCTAGACCTCTTGTTTTAAGGCAGAGATCATCACTGTTCTTAATGTGCAAACAAAATTTCAAGGGACAAATGAAGCTGAAGTTAAGAGCTTTAAAACATTTTTTCTTCTTTATTTCCAATGTAATTTGGGCATTTTTTTGTCGAAATTGTTTTCAGTCTGTGATGGCTCCATCCAGGAATATTTGTAACTTTACTTATAATGCTGGTGTTGTAACTGAGTATAGCAAAAGTTAGTACTTGTTACGATTTAATGAAAAGTCTGAATTGAAGTTGCAGTGTTCAGTAAATGCATGTATATATACAACTGTTCTTACATCATTTACAGCTCTGGCTATTTGAGAGCAAAACAATATATGGAAGAAGAGAACTATGACAAAATTATCAGTGAAAGCACAAAAGAAATTGAAGCAAAGGGAAAATACATGGCAGAAGCTTTGCTTCTGCGAGCTACTTTCTACTTACTTATTGGCAATGCAAATGCTGCCAAACCAGACCTGGATCAGGTCATCAGCATGGAAGATGCAAATGTGAAGGTAAGAATCTGTCACAACTGGATTGTAGTTTGGGTTGAGAAAATGTAGAAGTTAGATGATAAACTTGCAATATAGTTCAAGAGCTTGTTTTTCCAAGTTTTCACATACTTCAATGGGAGTGTTTGGTTTATTTACCATTTCGTCTTTTTATTCCTGACAAATTGTTTTTCAAGGGGTTGGGTTTTTTTGAGACAGCTGTGCTAAGCAGTACAAACTAAAGTACAGAGGAAGCTAAATGAATTGGAGGCTTATCCAGTCTGAAAAATCAGTTCATAAAAAAAAAAAGAGACAAAAATCAGAGGAAAAAGAAAAAGAAAAAAATTAATTGTACTTGCATATTGAACTACTTCAAAAAATACTGATATATTTGTAAGCATAGGGAACCTGTCTTCTAAAGGTTTTTTGGGGGGTTGAAAAGCCACTGAGATGGAAGCATAGGCTGACATATTTGAAATTAAGCAAGGGAGTTCGTTCATTTAGAGTCAATGTGAACTTTATTCCTGCTTAGAACGAATGAAATCTGTCAGTGGGAGAAACTAGTCAAATGAAAAATTTACTGTAATTGTAACAAAGCTTTACATCTGCAGGAATGTTGGAGTGGCTAATGCTTCTTTGAACTTTTTTTACAGCTCAGAGCTAATGCTCTGATCAAACGAGGAAGTATGTATATGCAGCAGCAGCAACCTCTGCTGTCCACTCAAGACTTTAACATGGCTGCTGATATTGACCCTCAGAATGCAGATGTTTACCACCATCGAGGACAAGTAAGAAACATTAGAGATTTTGTCCCAATACTTGAATATTTCAGTATATACTAAAAGAAAAATAAAGATCAGTACATCATTGGAAACACTTTGTACTGTTTGTGGCAGAAAAATGTCAACTCCTTCTTTGGAACTGTTGCGGAATAAACAGGCAGTCTAATCTGCAGGTTCAGGTCAGGCAGAAGCGGTTTATTTCTGTAGCTATAGGAAAGAACACAAAGCAACAGAGGTTCAGCCCTCTATCAATATGAATTCTGACTTAAAAGTACTAGGGCTTATATACATTTACAGCAGATATAAGCTGCTCTGTGAAGGGGCCTGATAGGGCAGAGCAGCATCTGCATACAAAGAAACTTTGTTACAGCAGATGTAACGTGTGTTGCTGATAAGTCAGCATCTGCAGCACTGCGGCCTAGACTTGTATCTCTTCAGTTCATCCCGCTCTGGCTTGTGACACTGCTGTGTCTGTGACTAATTTATAGGCCTAGAAGGGCCTGCTTCCACAAAGCTGTAATATAAAAGATGCTGAAAGAAAAAGGAAATACTACCGTATGCAGATAAGCTAAGTTGTGTCCATAAGGAAGAATTCCATGGATCAAGTGCCCTCTCTCCAGGAATTCGTTAGATCTCATTAGTGCTCAGAAATAAGAATGGCATTACATGTTGAAGGCAATCAAAGTTTTCTGCAGATTGAAAACTAATGTTTTACAGTAGCTTCACAGTGAAGTAAGAGAATGATGAAGTGAGCTCCACTCTTGGGGAGGAATAAGAATGTCAAAAAAAAAAAAAAAAAGGCTTGAAAAGCAAGCTGGGAGAGCCAAAATGTTTTGATATCCAAATAGTCCACAGGCATTAACTACAGCAAGACAAAGAGACTTGAGAAAATACGGCATAGTTTTGGAGACTGGACATAATGTTAAAGCAGTAATGGTAACAGACTAAAATGCAAGCATTCTCAGTTCCTTACATATGGACATTGCCTTTTTGTGCCCAAGGCCAAAGTTTCACTGGTGGCTCTGTTATTTTGTGGCAGTGCTTTTTAGTTACCGGTTTTAGAGGTTTCTAGGCAGTTCTAAAACTGAACTGGAGGCAATGTGAGTAACTGATGCTAACTGAATTAACATGTAAGTGTCTGAAGCGCACATTAAATACAGAAATAGGATTTTCTTTCATTCTGGCTAGCTGAAAATCCTGCTTGACCAAATTGAAGAGGCTGTGGAAGACTTTGATGAATGTATCCGATTGCGACCCGATTCTGCTTTGGCTCAAGCACAGAAATGTTTCGCCCTGGTAGGTAACATGCTGGTGTTTATCTGGGTGCCTTTTCTTTTTAGAGTTCTGGAAAACATACTGTGTTTCTCTGTTTTATTCCAATTTAATGGAAAAGTAGGACAGCAAGCATCTCAATATCTTTTAATAAGGTAAAGAATGCACAGTTTCTTTAGTTGGAGTAAGGGTTTGCTGCTTTCATTTTGCAATGTTTGTTATTCATACAGTAGGTCATCTTTGCTGTTTTGTGGTAGGGGAACAAAAATTGTTGCTCTAATTTTATCACAAAAAATTATTTAAATAAACCTTTAACATTGCTGAAAATTATCATCTTCAAGAAACTGGAAACAAACTATTTCAAGCTAGTACAATGCCTCCGCGTGCAGGAATCTTCTGAGGACAGCTTTGCATGGTGTGAACAAGGAGGAAATCTAGGCTTGGAATTTCTAGGCTTTTGAAATAGAGGGAGGTTATTGGCCTTATGGCTTCCTCCTTCACCCTTTCTTCTGTCCAAGTCCACTCTACCAGAGACTTGGATGCATTGTAGGTTCCTAAAGACAGATTTGGTAGGATATACAGGCATGTCATCTTGTGGAAGTGGTAATTGTTATGATGCGTGCACCTCTTGGGGAAGTGGGTAGAGACTTAATGAGGCGCTTTTTTTTGTGCTGTTTCATTTTTTTCCTTTTTTCTTTTTTTTTCCCTTTTTTTTTTTCTTTTTCTTTCTTGAATAGTACCGCCAAGCTTATACAGGAAATAATCCTTTGCCTGTGCAAGTAGCCATGAAAGGCTTTGAAGATGTCATAAAAAAATTTCCGAAGTGTGCTGAAGGCTATGCACTCTATGCTCAGGTACATTTTTCTCTCTCTTAAAGAAAATGCTGCATTTTCTTGCACCTTTTATCTTGGATAGCATACATTTCATCAAATAATATATGAAGATCTTTGAGAATAAGTTCTGAGATAACACATGCTGTCTTCAGTAAGCTACCTGAATTTATGGGTATGTGTGCTCTGGATAGAGGAAGTAGAGGGGAACTGGTGGATCAGAATGTAAGTGATGAGAGTCAGGGGTGGTTATTAGGAGACAGAGGTCAGGCATACGCTTCCCCTTGAATTCCTGCATGTGTGTGGCATCTCACTTGATGGACATCAGGGATTGTAATTTGGGAGTTAAATGTGTGGAACTAGGGTGACAGTTTCATTCTGCTACAAATGACATACAGTAGTTGAGCAGAGTTTAGTACAGATATTCAGAGTACACTTGTAACAGAGACTGTCATTTCTTCTCTAAGGAAATGTGCTGCTGGTTCTAGTGCAAAGCATGAGATGTTCCGATTTTAAGTAGGTAGGCAGTATGGATGCATTTCTTTATGAAAGAAGTACATTTGAAAAAGAAAGAAGTTGAGACTTGCAGGTACAGAGTTACTTGCAGTACACTTGTTATGTTGCTTGTGGATCTCCCATTATAGATGATACTGTGATCAGTAATTTTTACACTTAAAGCCTAGCAGCTTTCTTCTAAAAAGCCTCAATTCTGAAACTTAACTCTGGTAACTGGTGTGCCTGGCCTGCTTTACGATAAGACAGCTATATCCAATCTCACGTAGTCAATATAGTTTTAATTAGAATTAGCCTAGTGCGGAGTACATGTTTTGGTTGCATATTGATGTATAGGTTTCTGTTTTGATTCAGGCGCTAACTGATCAACAGCAGTTTGGCAAGGCTGATGAAATGTATGATAAATGCATTGACCTTGAGCCAGACAATGCCACTACATATGTTCATAAAGGGTATGTATTGAGTTTGCGATCTTTTTGGTCAAGAGCAGTTGCCACGTTTAGATAAATCAACCCTAATTGAATGTTTGTGTTTAGAAGCTTAGCCAGGAGAAATAACTATGTGAAAACAGCTTAGTGCTGTTATATGTATTTCTATAGTTTCTCTTGACTAAACTGTAAATAAGTTTCCGTAAAGTTTTATTAGTGTTCATTCCTAATTGAGTATCTACTTGAAGTATATGACTCTGACTTTAGTCCTGTTTAATTTAAACTTGGTGCTGAAGTTTTCTCTTTTGTCAAGCAACTTGTATCAAGTTGTCTTGAGAGGAATTTATCTTTAGACTCATTAAGCTGAAAACATGGCTTATTGAAAGTGACTTTCACATATACATTTTTTTTAAAAGCAGTGAAGTTACTGTCATCCTTGCATTAGAAATTGTGAATATTTGGGATCTCTTTTTTTGACTTAAATGATCTTAGTTATGGGAGGAGTATGTGAAATTTGTTCTAAATTTTCTCTTTCTCTTCCAGTTTACTTCAGCTCCAGTGGAAGCAAGATTTAGACAAAGGGTTAGAACTCATAAGCAAGGCCATTGAAATTGATAACAAATGTGATTTTGCATATGAAACCATGGGAACGATTGAAGTGCAAAGGTAGTGTTCAATTGCAGCGTTAAGAGTTCTTAGTTACTTTTGAAATTAAAGCAGTCCTTTAGATTTCCCCATGGATCTTACGCTTTTCATAAGATCGTCTCCCCAGTGCTGTGCGAGGTCAGCTCTTACCCGAAGTCCTGATTTCTGTTCTGTAATTGTTAGGGAAGGCTTTCCTTTCTCTGGGGCATAATTTTGCTTTACGATGTGATGAGTTCCCATGTTCACCTATTTCATACTTTCTGGACAACATGCAGATGAGTCTGTGCATGTTTAAATACATTCCTTCAGCATTTAAAGTGACTTCCTTAATTATTACTCAGCTTCCTGTGTTTTTAATGTAGTCAGTAAACATATCTTACTGGACCTTTTGTACTGAGGATCCTGAGCTATACTCTGAAGCCTGACCATTTGGGTTTAATGCCAACATGATTGCAGTTTCCAAGCTCACAGGGTAAAGAGGAAAGACTAATGCACTATTCTGTAACCATGCATCGTTTTACAATTGGGCAAAAACTTGGGGTGTAGCTGAGAGTATAGTAGGGTCTTTTTTTACATGTCTAGTCCATCAAAAAGGCAGACAGTTAAACTGTTGCCATAAGAAATTTTACAAACATTTCCTATTTAAATAATGTGAGCTCTTGTCTTTGCTAGTTTTAGTCTTAAGTATACAAACTCTTTTCAAGAGAGATGAGAGTTAATTAAATTGTCCCAGCATTATCTTTGTAGGAAACTTGGTGTCCTGTGGAGAACACTTTATCCCCCACTGCAATCCATGGGGGCTCTCAAGAGGAAGGCTGTAAAACAGCTGTCTTAGTTGCTTAGGCTTGGTAACAGCTCCTCTCAGTTTGCTCATCATCATCACAAGTTCTCGTGGTAGTTCCTCCCAGAGTCCTTTTAAGCTGTTAGTAGTAGAGACCATAAGTCCTGAAGGAAAAAAAGATGCTGTAGAGATGAAGAGATTGCTTTGCCAGTCTTAATTTGACTGCATTTTGGTTTATTTCAGAGGTAATCTGGATAAAGCCATTGAAATGTTCAACAAAGCTATCAACCTGGCCAAATCTGAAATGGAGATGGCCCACCTCTACTCGCTGTGTGATGCTGCCTATGCCCAGACAGAAGTTGCAAAGAAGTATGGATTGAAACCACCAACACTGTAAAGAAATGAGGAGGAAATGACCTTCTAAAGTGAAGTTGCCCACTTCAGCCAGCCCTAAAGACGCTGTTGCAGACCATGTTGAATGGTGGAACTTAGTTTTTTCCCGTTCATGGTGTTGTCATTTGCTACATCTGTTAAATGTTTAGGTGTTGTGGGAGTGGTTGTTCAAGGAAGTATGCAGTGTTGCATCTTGTTCCTTCTGCAGCAAAAACCTTGAAGCGTGTTAAGGGAAATAAAAGTTGCAGGGGAACAAAAGGAAGATATTTTGGCCATGCAAATAAAAACTTCACATTGGTTATTTGGGGTGATTATGTTGTGGGCGATTTTTGCTTTATCAAACAATACTACAGCATGTGGGGTTTTTTTCCTGTTGATTTTAAAGGTAATACTAGTCAGTGCTGTAAAATAGGTTTCTTTTTTATATGCAATTAATCCTTGAGGGTTGATTTTAATTTTGCAAAAAGGAAAAAAATTAATTTTCAAACTGTTTAATAATAGAGGGTTTTTTTAAGTCAGTAGATGTGGAGAGAATCCCTGTAAATATATGCAAGCATGTACAATCTTCCCTTAAAGCCCCTCCCACCCTCTGCATAACTTCCTTAGAAATAGTCCTGTGGCAGCTATTAGGGAATTAATTTGATAGTCCTTCTCCTCACCCCAGAAAGCCCTAGTGTACTGTATAGGAGAGCTAGTACAAAGGTGGGCTGGGGAAAGAGGTCGGCTAACACTGCTTCAGTGTAGGCTTTACTGGAAGAAAGGCTGTGTTCCTGTGCAGCAGTCCTTACTTGAATGTCACAGGAAATTGTTCTGAAGGGTTCAGAGGGACTTTCAAGAACAGAAAGCACTGCTGGGAGTAGAGCTGCCAAGGTAGGGTCATGCTTGCGTATAATCTTTGTAATCTCTGATGCTCTTGCTTAAATGTAACAGCTAATAGACTGTCTAAATTCTCCTCAGTCTCTAGAGGCTGCGGCGTTCTGATCTGTTCCTTGTAATAGCCCTTTGCAGGATTAAGTGAGAGAAGGAACAAAGCATAGGCTAAAACTTCAAATAATGGATTTAGAATCTGTGCTGGTTTCCTTGTTCTTTAGACCATATCTTGTCCAAGATTACAAATACTGTAGGAAGGAAGCAATTGTTCTGCAAATAGCAGATTGGCAAGTTATTAAATACTAATATAAACGGTCTTCCTCTAGCTAGGAACTTCATAGAGGGCTTTCTTTAGTCAGTCCATCTTGCTTCTCCCTGGATTGATGTGGCTGGATAAACCTCATGCAAATACTTAATTGATGTAGCTTAATTTACCATACACTAATCTGGGCTTCTTTCCATCCTGAAATCATAGATTTGCTTGTGCTGAATTGTCTAATGTGTTTCATCTCTTAAAGAAATTTACTGTGCTGTGGTCAAACTGTCTTGTTGTCTAGTCGTGCCACCATATAGCAGCAGCTTGTGTTTTCAACTTGACCTTCCTTTCTCCCAGCAGCTACAGTTGAGAATTCAAAGGGTGGAGAGTAGACATAAAGATCTAATAATTCTATTTTAGCTAGCTCAGTAGGTGATCTGAAATCATAGTGTTGGTGGAGAATTGAAGGCGTTGGAAGGTACTGGCAGCTTCTAAGGGCACTGCACATAACAAGTGTCAAATGTCTTGTGGGACTTCCAATCTCTGCATCAATTACCCGAGAACAAAAATATGCCAGACTGACTGATGCGACCTGTTCTCCCGAGGAGTCTTTATTCGCATGGCCTTATTTACATTGGCATTTTTTCCTCTTCACCCTACCTGTGCCCCCTTCCTTACCCCACCCAGTCAATTAAGGGAAAAAAGCATGTGCTGTTGAATACTAGCATTCCAAATCATCACAGACTTTTGCCTGTTCTTGAACTAGTTTGAAACTGCACTGAAAGGATGCATTGTCTGTAATTTTTTTTTTTTGTAAATGACGTATCACCTGTAAACTGAAAAAATAAATATTACCTTCAAGTATCTCTCTCTGACGTATAACAACAGGATTTGCTGAAAGTGTTCTCTGCAGTGGTGCTCTCTGTGCTTATTTGAGGTTGCTCTGAATCTAGGAAGAGCTAATGATGACTGACTCCCTGTCATGTTCTCTCACATCAACTTTCAAGAAAAAAAAAGAGGAGACATGAAATTAACAAAGCTTATCTCTGATGGCTTCCCTCACCCACAGAGGTATGATCGCAAGAGCTGCAGATTACAGGGTAAAGGAAATCCAGCTAGGAAAGCTGGGACTCGGAGTAGTTGACACCCTGTTATTTGTATGTGCAGAAGGATCCCTTTGGTGAAAGGGATTTTTTAGATGGCTGATGTAGTGTGCATGTGAACTTTGAGAAAAGCTTTCTTCAGTAGGGATTGAGAGCTGAAGTGAAACAAGTATTACTGCTTTAAAAAAAAAAAATAATTGTTGAAATAACGTAGGAAGCTAGTACTAAAGACTGGGATAAAACTGGTGTATCCTAGAGACTCTGGGAAGTTGCTTCTACACATGGTGGTCTTGCATCGTAATTCTGATCATGTAAAATCCCTGTTGTTCATGTAAGAGACAAGTTTGCTGGAATGGAGATTAGAAGTTGTGACCTGAATTACTAGGATTTAATTGCAAATTTAAAATGAAGAGGGAACTAATGTATACTAAGGACCTGTACGGTAACTTATTCTGGAACTATTAAGAGCAGCTTAGATGCAGCTTTAGCCAGGCTCCCCAACTGCAGTGGTAACAACACTGCCTGAAACAACAGGCCTTGCTCTTTTCTGCCATTTCTTAAAAATTAAACTCTTGCAGGCTGAAATTCTGGAGCTATTTCTGGCTGTTACTGGCTGGTTTTCTATACTTGCAGAATATTGGTGCATATGTATAATAGGGATACTTAAAGTGCCTGTTTTCTACCAATCAACACAGAGATTGAGTGTTGACTGCTTTAAGTAATATCTAGCTGAGAACTGATTGTGTACTTTCTTCATTGAAACCCCCCAAAATTCACAGTCCCGTTTGTATCATTTCTGAGTGGAGCACACTGGAGACCCCTAAATCATCTTACTAAAACAAGGTGCTTAGAAGTTGTCCTAACAGACTGAAGATGACTGAGCTGAGGTCACCAAAGTAGCTCACTACAGCTTTTCACCCCTTCTCTGCATTTGGGATTCCAGGGGAGGAGGGTCCAGAAATTCTTCTGTCTGTTGCAGACTGCACTTTGCATTTCTAAAATTAAGCGGTTGGCCCACAGGAATCCTGCAGTACTTTAATCCTCCAAAGGTAGTATTTAGTTCCTGCTCTGCTGCATGTTAAACTAGTACAGAGAAGGGAGGGAAAGACAGGGGAGGAGTTTAGAAAAATGGATGTATCATAGTTTCTGTTTCTAATTAGAATCTGAAGTCCAGTGATAGCCATCATGGATGCCAATTGTTGAGTATGTGGGAGGCATTAATCTAATGCAGGAGACTTGACTCAAATGATAGATTGTTGATTTTTTATATTTATTTTTCAACAAATAAATCTTCATTTCACCTTATGCTCTGTGGCTTGTTTCTTAAGAGTTCCAGTACAGTATGCACACCAAAATGCAGTGAAAAGTATAAACCAAAAAATGCCTGCTGGAATAGATAATGCCACTGAGTGGAATGGTGTGACCTGTCTTCTGAGGGGAAAGATGCCTCAAGGTTAATTTAACCATTAATTTTCCTCTACAAAACACACAGCTAGCTCGTTCCAGAGAAGCCAAAAGAATATTAAAAAAAAAATAATAAATAATCAAGAGAACAGCTGTGGGAAGAGGATGGCTGAATATGAATAAAATGGTAAGGTGGTTTTGGGGGAAACTGGTGGTTAACTGAAGCGTGACAAAAGCCCTCCCCTCCACATTTTGTATTTTGAAATCTTCTTTAGCCTTACTGCTTTATCGTTTTTGCTGCTGGAAAACCAAAAGCCTAGTGATAAAGGCTGGATAGTTAGAGTTGCTTTTTTTTTTTCATCCCAACGAGAAAAAAAAAAAAGCCATTTACAAATTCTTATCTTTTAACATTAGAAGTACCGAGGTGTTCTTCCTTCTAAGAAGAAAAAAAAAAAAAACCACAACAACAAAACACTAGGCTGGTTTTAAGTATTTTAAAGGCATCTTTCATAATCAGTTTGTTATTTTTTTTTCAGGAGGAATGAAAAAAGGAGTGTTTCCCATGCAGCTGATGGGAGTTGGCCCTGGGTAGTAATAATGCATTTAAACATCGAGCAATTCTAGTACCTGTCTTCTGGAAGACTGTGGGCAAAAAGACTTTATCAGTGCAACAAGTTTTCTAACCCTTTTGAGTGACTCCCCTCAGCCTTTTCAGGCGAAGACTGCCAGGCAGCAGACTTCAAGCCCATCCAGACATTGTATTAAGGAAGCAGTATATAGAACAAAGCTGTGGTGACATGAATTCCTTTAACAAAACAGTAACCTGCAGCACCTCCACAATAAACAGGAATTGCAATAAAGAGAATTTAATACATATATATTCCACACAAGACACATGAACCAAAACTTGTTACAGATTCTTCTATAGTAGTAGTTGTCCCTTGCATTGTTCCTAAGTAGTACAGAGAAGAATTTGGCCTGTTTTGCTTAGTGTGTTAAATTTTAAGATCTCCAAGTTAGAAGTTGTGCATTCAAAAAACTTTGTTAAGGCACATACAACTAAGGAGGACAGAGATGGAAGAATCATGCTTCTAGATTACCTGATAATTCACTGAAAAATTCACAATACCAAAGCTGACTTCAGAGGATTTTGAGAGAAGGTTCCCATTTCTAAGTTCTACAAAATAAGCCCCCAAAAGGTAACTAAAACATTATGATGCATAAAAAGCAATGTTCACTACTACTGTGTTGAACTGTTTTCACCTCCATCTTTATCCTACCCATTAAATACTGTCAAATACTGAAGTATGAGAGATCTAAAAGTTGTATTTGAATCAATTTTAGAATTACACCACCAAGTTGGGGGGGGGGGGGGGGGGTGTGGTTTT